ACCAACATATATCAGCTTATCCCCTCCTATTTTCTTACCCACACCTTACCTATCCTTAACCCAGCTTTTCTTTTTTATATTCTGTTATGTGTTTTTTATTACCCCCTTTTCTTGCTTTTTTCTACACATTTTGATATGTATCACTTGTTAGATTTTTTCTCTACTTTTTTTTCCTTTCTTTACTTCAAGCTTCACCTCTTGTCCCCCACCTACCTTGCCAAACCACACCCCCCTTTCTTTTCTTTTTTTGTTACTTTTTTTAATGCATTAAAATGTTATAGACTATTGAAAATGTATTTTAGAATTTCCAGACATTTATAGCGAAAGTCCAAATTTTTAAGCGGGAGATTTTAAACCTCCGTTTTCCACGCAAAAATATATCGTCAGAGTCGGCTGAGGCTGAGTCCACAGCGATGCTCAAGCCTAAGCACAACCACAAGCCCAAGCGTGTGCGCAATAACCCATCTTCCCTGCTTCTTCTCTTGAAAAGAAGCAGCGAACTGGATAATATCGTCAACTATAGTGGTCTATTGCCACTAGTTTCTAAATATTTATCTGGGGGAAGGATGTCGGTTTATAGTATATTTGTAGCCTCATTATTTTCTTATATAGTGTAGACATGTGTTGTTAAAAACTGTCAACAAAATAAACAGGGAATGTAAAGAAAACATGTTTAAATGTTGAATATTGATGTGTTCAAATATTAAAAAATATATTAAAAAAATCACAACAACGACTTTGCAAAGGATGTCATCTTATTGCTGTTGTTATTTGACTCCTTCTTTTTCTTTGTGGCCTCTGTCCAAAAACGAATATGTTCCGAAACATCAACACCCGACAAACCACCACCAGTACTATCCACCGCACGCAAATCATCCACAACCGACAATACCGGTGTCTGCTTTAAAGTGCGCATCAAGTCCAAAACACTCGCAGCCAAACGAACATACATAGCACTATTTTCCGAGTCATTCTGTGCCTGCGATACCAGAAACCTTAATGCAGTCATGTTGAACTCGAGTGTTGCGTGATTCAGCAGGTGCGGCGAGCAATCAGTGGAAGTACGCCATGCAGTGAATATGCGGAGTCCGGAGTTACAGCTTTTGGGATTTTCGAGTGTCGATAATTGACAGAGGTTGAGTGTTTCTGTCAGCAAAATGTACAGTGGCGAGGCCAGTTCGTCTTCCGATACCGACGACGGCTGTCGGCTGTTGGCAGAGGCGGGGGTGGTGGTGATAGCTGCAGGGGTGGTGATGGTAGCTGCAGCGATACTGCAGCCCAAGGATGCCCATGATTCAGCAGCGTCCAGCATTGTATTATCCAGATACAGTGATTTGGTTCCGTGGGATGACACAATATCGTGAATCGCAGCAGCCAGACATTGCACTGAGGCAGTTGGGCTGAGGATACCGGCCCAATACCACCTGCTAACAAAAGCATGTACCCCGCTTGCTGACTCCATACGCGTCAACAAGGCGATATACTGGGTAACGCAGGATACAATAGGCAATGTGGATTCATTAGTCAACCCGCTACGAGGTGCCCAACCAACTTTCGCCAGTGATCTGTCACCCTTGATACCAAGGATATGTATCAAATACGGGTCGTTGCGGCGGTGCCGTTCCTCGAGCCAGTCGATGAGATTTTGTGACTTTTCTAGACGACTTTTCAGCGACGCGCCAAACAGGGGGGTTGTCGCGGCAGCGAATGCCGAGCGACAGAGTGATGCGGATATGGGCATGTCTTGGATATCTATGAGCTTGTTAAGCGCACCAAGGATGCTCTCGTTGGCCATAGTGCGTTCCGATGGAAGGCGCAGTAGGTGGCCGATGCATGCGCCAAAAGTCAGAATGGTGGCACTGGCCTGGCGTTTGTGCAGCTCGGCTTCGGGTAGCATCGCTGTAGTGCCCTCAGATTCTGCCCCCGTCGCCGTTGTAAACAGGGTTTCCCTACCAGAACCAAAACTAGTGCCGCGCACCAGGACCAGGTTGCCCGCAGCTGCCAAATCAAGGAACGTACAAATGGCCTTGGGATTAGCCTCGTCCGCGATAAATCTGGACATTACTATGATATCGTTCTGTGTGAGCGCCAGCGGAATGGTAGCGAAATGCGTCTTTACAAAGTCTGCAAACTCAATCACAGACTCCGAGGCCACTCGCACGGTGCCTGGTGAACTTGTCGAGTGGCTGTTTTTATGCGCAAATATATGAGTGATATTGCGCAGCCACTGGACCACTAGTCGCTGGCGCAGGTCGTGTTGGCTGATCAATGAGGGTTCGACGACAGCGTAGCGCCGGGCAAACTTGCTCCATGACAGGGCCAGGCGGAGTTTCCAAGAAAGCCGTAGTCTTTGTGATTTGTGAGCAGAAGAGGAGGAAGCTGCCGAGATAACCTCGTTGATCTCCATCATGGCCTCATCCGAAGGCGAAGCGGGGAATGCACGGCGCAGGATGCGGCGGGCCTCGGAGTCGATTTCCTCCGAAAGCGGCTCAGCATTAATATCGTCCACGGGTTTTCCGGGCGAATCAGACATACTGGAGAGCAACGGGGTAGTTAAGGAACCCATTATGGAATGCCGAAGCACCAGGCGTACACACGCGGCGGCCGCCAGCAATGCCGCGGCGGAAGCCAAGATCTTAGGCACTAAAGGAAGGCCGGCCAAAACAACACTGTTGCCGATCCACGCCCACTTGGCTACCAGGACACCCATTGCCGTATATGACCCGTACTCGAGCACCTTGATCAACCGCCGTGTGCGTCTCTCCCTGCGCACGGCGTCCTCGACAATCCCTGTGACTGTGTGGAAATCCAATCGGCGCAAAATAACATCCGCGGGATCTTCTACATCCAAAGTGGCCCTGAGCAGGGGTGTGTTCTTAGCAACCCTGTCACCGTTGAACCGCAACAGGGCCAGCTGCTGTGCAGCATATGCGTGCATGGAAGGCCGCCTCCACTGCGTGGAAATCCTCGAAAAGGCGCGTTGAGTGATATCGGGTCGGCCCAAAGTAGCATAGAGCTCGAGATATTTGACAAACAAGGCAGGGTTAAAGCTAGTTTTGTTGCGCTGTAGAATATGATGGGCAAGGTGGTCGGCGATATGACAGATGCGGCGGATATCTTGGGTTGCAGAGACTGTGCCGCTGGCTACCCATTGGCAGCATTGGGTCATTATTTGGGTTCCTTGCTGCTCCTGTGCCGATGTGGTCCAGGTTTCGGTGCTTAGCTTAGTGGCTTGGTCGATGAGTGTGTCTATTTGCTTTTGGATGCTCGGTTTGGGAGTTGCCGGAGAGTGGAAATGCTGGTGAGTTTTGTGCTGATGCTGATGCTGCTGTTGCCATCGAGCTGGACGTAGGGCGAGGTTGGTGAGGGATTTGGGCGTGGTCAGCAGAAGCAGGCTGCGTGTGCGGGCATTCAAAAACAGCAGCTGCGACATTTGAAGAGTTGAATTAAATAAAATAAAATAAAATAATAAAAGTGAAGGACAGAAAAACAAGAAAAAAATGAATACTGTAAGGATACAACACGACTGATTTGATCCGATCAGCATTCAAGCCTGGGACCAGGGTTTCAATTTTTCTATTAATGGTGCTGCGCACACACCCGCTGCGATATGTAAAAAATTAAACGAATTGCAATTTTTTTCTCTCACAAAACCATTTTTTTTAAATATTTATTATTCGAATTTCATTCATCAAAATGTACGCGAAAATAGAGCGGTTACTGTCGCAGGTCGAAAGCGAAAGCGGCCATGGCATACTAGGCAAGAAGCGCACACCAAGTGCATTCCGCAGCCCAAACATAACCACTGGCATACCACCCCTAGACGACGCACTCAAGGAGCACACAACCAACATCACACAGGAGGAGCAACATCCACGGCCACCATTATTTGAGCTTCTAGGAGCATCAGGCAGCGGCAAAACACAAATGCTCTACCGAATCTGCGTATCCACCGCAATGCCACGGTCAGCCAGGCTTTCCAACGGCACGACTGTTGATCTACAGGGCCATTCGGCGCACGTTCTTCTGGTGGACATTGACGGCAAAATGTCAATGGATATCCTGGCGCATCAAATACGCGAACGCGCACGGGAATTAATAAAAAAAAACAAGGGGCTGGAATTCAACAATAGTGAGGAGGAAGAGGAGGGGCGGGTGGTGGAAGAGGCTCTAGGCCGTATTCGCGTTTTCACACCCGAGTCGACGCACTCCCTGGTGGCCACACTGGCGCTGCTCCCGCGGTACGCGCAGGATATAGATGCCCCTTTGGTGCTTCTTGTAGATGGGCTTGGGGCGAACTTTTGGCTGGATAAGCGAACGAGCGACCATATGTGGTTGAAGATCAAGCGCGCAACGCCGTGGTTTAGACTCCAACAGGTGATGGTGGATACGCTACAGCAGGTACATCTTGCCCTGGGGTGTCTCTGCGTGGTAACCAGTGGGTTGTTTTTGAGGAGCACTGAGGGGTCGGGGTTGGTTAGGATGGCGTCGCAAGAATCCGCATCTTCGGCGAGTCAGGGGAGCCAGCAGGCTGCTGGTGGCGGTGGGCAGCAGGGTGCAAGGAGTATTGAGGTTGGACAATGTGTTTACCGCGACCATATGATTCCGAGGTGGAAAAGTGCTGTTACTGGGTCCTTTGTGCTCGAGAGTATGCCGGGAGCCGGGCACGGCGGGATGGTGGATTGTCCGGTCACGAAGATTACGCTGATGAATGTTGGTGGTCAACAGAACCAGAATCAGCAACAGGCTTTGGGTAATCCGTTGCAAAAGTATACGATGTATGTAGGGACCCACGCGGAATGTCAGAAAAACGCGTGCTGATTGGGCCAATGTAATGGAATGAAGTGGGCCAAGCCACACTATGATATGTAGACATGTAATTTGGGAATAGTGTAAATAATTTTTTCGTTTGTTTATTTTACAAGTGGCGGCAAATGAAGCTGGGAGTGGCTGAGGGAAAGAATAGAGTGACTGTTTATTTGTTTTTAATTATTGTATTTGGTTTGCGTGACGATAAACAGCGGATACTCTGACGTAGTGTGAGATTTTGTGAGATTGAGTGTCTCCCACGCAAGCGGCACTGTGCACTTAATTGGGAAGTTTTTTTTATAAAAAAATTCTATCGTGATGTTTTGACATTGAGGGATTCGCAGAACTAATTGGACCAAACGAGTTGTATTCAGTCTCGAAGTTGGTCCTAAATTTATTTTACAACAATAATGTGTTGGCGTGTATTTAGAGGACGAGGGGGTGAAGGAGATATGTTTCTTTTTTAAAAGTGATTGTCTCTCCGAACGCGATTTCAATTGTTCTATCAGTCCCAGCAGCAAGGTTTTTTGTCAAGTAGAGTGCTTACACACAAGAAAGAAAGAAAGAAAAAGTTTGGTCTTCTCCGAGCTGAGAATTGAGCTTTTTCATTTTCTCACTGCGTCTGGTTCAGGCACCGTGTTTCCCTCAAAACCAAATGCATTTTTGTTGTGAAAGCAGCACAATTGATTGTAGTGAGCGTACAGTACGTGTTGGTTCCTGCTCACAAAAGGTATCAAAACCACATCCTTTTTATTTTGTTTACTTTCTCTTTCTTTCTTTCTTTTGTTTATTTTATTATTTGGGTTTGCTTCTTCGTTCACTGTCCCCTCCCGTTATCTCTTTATTATTTTATTATTTTATTATTGCCCTTGCTGGCTAAGTGAGCGAGTATATATACCGCAAGTCAAGCAACAAAATAAAAAACTAATGATGACTTCGGATTCAACCGAGCCAATCGTCACAGCGCCTATCCCTGCTGTCGAGGCTGATCTCAAGCCCAAGCCCGCACCCGCGGTCGAGACAGAACCCAAGACCAAGTCTGTCCCCACGACGCCCATGTCCTGGACGCGCAAGGCCACACGGCCATTCTCCTCCCCCTCGGTCTACGCACCCACACTCCCATATGAGTGCGGCGGCGCGCGCGAGTACAACAGCTACATCCTCTACGGACTCGCGCTGGGGATCCCCTACCTACTCAAGCGCCTCCTCAGCCTCAGCCTCGGCAGTTATCTAGTCCTGACAGCCATCCTGGCGCTGCCGATCGGGGCATTATCTCTTGTCGCGCACTCGTGGATAGTCAGCACACCGACGGAGCAAATCTGCGCATTGCCGAATGAACCACTGGAAAAGTACATTACGATTCTGGAGAAGGAGCTCAAGGCCAAGTACCACGGCGGGAAGAAAATCCCAATGGAGGAGTTTTTCGAAAACTACTTTGACGGCAACATTGATCTTACGGGCGACGCACTGGAGATTTTCGAAAAGCGTTATGACTGGGCGTTTTTCCCAATTACACTGAATGTGGCCAAGTTCTTCTTCACACAGTGGATTCCTGAGCTGATCTGGCACTCGAAGAAGCAGGACGAGACGCAGGTGCGTGACCACTATGATCGAGGCGACGACTTTTATGCGGCGTTTTTGGGTGACCGCATGGTGTACACTTCGGGGCTGATTGGGGACGAGACACGGCGCGAAACGCTGGAGGAACTGCAGGATAACAAGATGCGCGATGTCTGCGAGCGCATCCGTATGCAGCCAGGCGACCGCCACTTGGACATTGGCTGCGGCTGGGGCACTCTGGCAGCATTCGCGGCGCGCAATTATGGCACTGAGTCTGTCGGCATCACGCTGGGCCGCAACCAAACGGCCTTTGGCAATGAGCGCGCAGAGCAGTGGGGCGTTGGCGACAGCACACGCATTCTCTGCATGGACTACCGCGATATCCCCCGGCGCCCTCGGTACAACCGCATTACGTGCCTGGAGATGGCCGAGCATGTCGGCGTGCGCAAGTTCCAGGACTTTTTGCTTCAGGTCAAGGATATGCTGGAGGACGACGGGCTTTTCTACCTGCAGATCGCTGGGCTGCGCGGCGCCTGGCAATACGAGGACTTTAGCTGGGGCCTGTTCATGGCCAAGTACATTTTCCCTGGGGCGGATGCCTCGTGCCCGCTCAACTGGGTGGTTGCCCAGCTGGAGACCGCCGGCTTTGAGGTGCGTACCGTGGAGACTGTTGGCGTGCACTACTCGGTGACCTTGGGCCGCTGGTATGAGAACTGGATGCGCAATAAGGAGCAGATCATGAAGACTTATGGCAAGCGTTGGTTCCGCGTCTGGGAGATCTTCCTGGCCTGGTCGGTTATTATTTCACGCCAGGGGTCGGCCAGCTGCTACCAGATTCTGGCCCACAAGAACCGCAACGCCTTTGACCGCACGGCGCTGATGCGTGCGCCCATGGGCGTTGAGATGCCGAGCGGATCGGTCCAATAAAAATATATATACTGTTTTTTGGAATTTGAATTGATCCGTATTTCTTTCTTTTTTGGCTGTTGAAGGGGTGTGTGTGGTCCTAGATCTTGGAAATATCCAACCCTAGAGTCTATCTATCATCGGTCCCAAACCAACCTAACCCTAGAAGGCTATCAGCGGTCCCCCTCTTAGATCAACCTAACCCCGGGCGGGAGATAAAGAAAATCCATCGGCAACAGCGGCACGTGGTTCAATTTTCACTCATTTGCTTGTTTGTTTTATCAGGCCTCGTTTTTATTATTCTCTTTAAAGACGTCGTTTTCGTTTAAAGCGTTCTCGAGACATCACTATTTCTTTCTTTCATAAGCAAAAACATTTATTTCATCTCAGCTCATCTCGTTTTATAAGTATTCAGAATGGTTATTTTCGCCAGATCCACAGCACTCAGATCCGCGGTAAGCCACCTGCGGCATATCTCCACCGGCAGTACCGCAGCGCCCGTGCCCAGTGGGCTCTCGCTTTCCTCGCTGTCGCTCAGACGTGCAGTATTCTACGTGCCATGCAGCGACGAGCGCAAAATAGCCAAATCCTACACGTCCGCGGCTGACTGCATAATGTACGATCTCGAAGACGGCGTTTCGCTCAACCGCAAGGACCAAGCGCGCTCCCTCGTCCTCCAAGCACTCTCCGAAAACCCAACCAATCTGCTGTCCAACGAGGGAACGGGCATACATAAAAAGAGAACCGAGTTGGGCGTGCGGATTAACAGCGTGGGGTCGGGGTTGGAGCAGCGCGACTTGGAGGTGGTCCTGGAGTCGCCGTACCTCGACACCATCATGGTGCCCAAGGTTGAGCGTCCGGAGGATCTCCGGGGCGTATCGGAGATGATCCAGAGGTCAGGGCGCAGCGTTAGCATTATTGCCGGAATCGAAACGGCGCTGGGACTGTTGAACATTCGCGAAATCGCCCAGGCATCTGAGCACACGGATGCGCTGCTGTTTGCTGCCGAGGATTACTGCGCAGATACTGGCATTCTGCGCACGCCTGGCCGCAGAGAACTGTACTATGCGCGGTCGGTGGTGGCGACCACTGCCCATGCGTTTAGGCTGCAGGCGATCGACATGGTGACGATGGATTTCCGCAGCCCACAGGTGCTGGCGGAGGAGAGCAGGGAGGGTGCCGAGATGGGGTTCACTGGGAAACAGGTTATTCACCCGGCGCAGGTTGATGAGGTGCAGAGAATGTTTGCGCCGCCGGCGGAGGCTGTTCGCCGCGCGGCAAGGATTGTCGAAGGGTACCGGGTCAACTACGAGGCTGGCCGTGGCGCGTTTGACCTGGACGGCAAGGCGATTGATATGCCGGTGGTCAAGTGGGCGTACCGCGTGCTGCGCCAGGCCGAACTGGCCGGGATGACGGTCGAGTGAAAGGAATAGAGAAGCACGTGCCGTCTTTTTGTTGTTAAATTCATTTTTCTTTGCTTGGCACATGCTATTTGTTTGCTTTGGGTTTCGGCCCCTGTAAATGGAAGCAAAGGCAAGCCAGGCACATGCATTCATATGTCGCGGGCACATGAAAGCACAAAAGGGCCTCTGCCGCTTGTGATTATGTTTTGTGCTTGTGCTTTTTGGCTCACACGGATATGCGCTATCAAGCATGTGTGAATGAATGCGCAGTCCCATGTCGTTCTCGTTCGGATCCTGAGTATATTCAGTGTGGGGGGAGAAATATCCGCAAAATCTCGTTCTTCTCTTCTTTAACCTTTTTTCTTTCTTTAATCTTTATAACAATACGAATACTATTTCACATGCTGCGCATATCTTCCCCGCGTGCAGCCACGGCCAGCACCCTCGTACGCCACCACTCTACCACCACTGCCACTGGCGCAATGTTCGCCAAGCAGGGCTCGCTCCCGCGGCTGCCGATTCCCAGTCTCAAGGACACAGCCACGCGGTACCTCAGGTCCCTTGAGCCGCTGCTCAGCCCCTCAGAGCACGCGCAGTCAACCAAAGCAGCGTCAGCATTTATTGGCACCGGCGGACTAGGGCCGGTGCTCCAGCAGCGGCTGCGGGAGGTGGACCGGCAGGCGGAGCACAGTTGGCTGGAGGATATCTGGCTGAAGAAAGCATACCTCGAGTGGCGCGGGCCCAGCTATATCAATGTCAACTGGTTTGCACAGCTCGGCGACAACCCCGACTATGCGGCGCCTGCACACGTGGAGCGCGGCCAAGTAACAGGCGTGCAGATCCAGCGCGCAGCGCGCGTTGTCACGCACATGCTGGAGCTCAACGAGATGATTAATGCGCGCAGCGTACCGGTCGATTCACTGCGCGGGGAGCCGCTGTGCATGGCGCAGTTCATGTGGCAATTCGGCACTACGCGGGTGCCGCGTCCGGGCTGCGACCAGCTGGTGCACCAGTTCCCGGCGACAGCGCGCCATATTCTGGTGATGTACCGCATGCAGGCCGTCGAGGTGCCGGTGTACAATGCCAGTGGCCAGCGCGCTAGCCTGGCGCAGATCACTGCGCAGCTGGCCGCCGCCACGCAGCGGGTCGACAAGCTGATTGCACGTGCCGGCGCCGTACCGTCCGTCGCCAACCTCACGGCCGCGCACCGCGACCAGTGGACGCGCGCGCGCACACACCTAGAGCGCGACGCTGGCAACCGCGCGGCGCTGGAGTCCGCCGACCGCGCGCTCTTCGGGCTCAGCATGGACACCGACGTCAACCCAGAAGACATGCGCGATGATGAGCGGCGCCTGGCAGTGTTTGCGCACTCGGACGGCGGCGCCAACCGGTGGTTCGACAAGGCCATCCAGCTGGTGGTGCTGGCCGACGGCCGTTTGGGCGTCAACTGCGAGCACGCGCCGGTCGACGCGCTGACCACCGGCCGCATCCTCGTAGAGGTAGCGCAGCGCGAGCGCGGCCCGCTGAAGGATCTGCCGCCAGCCGCCGACCTGCCGCCGCCGGAGCCGTTGGTCTGGAACATCTCGCCGGAGACTGCCAATGCGATCTCGCAGGCGCGCGCCGAGGCGCGGGCGCTGGCCACCGACCTGCGAGTGCTGCTCGGCGGCGTCGGTGACTTTGGCGCCCGGTGGATCAAGACACTGGGTGTCAGCCCCGATGCGTTCTTCCAGGTGGCACTGCAGGCCGCATACCTGCGCCACCACGGCCAACCGGCTGCCACGTACGAGTCGGCGTCGCTGCGGCGCTTTGCGCACGGCCGCACCGAGACCATTCGCTCGTGCACGGCTGACGCCCAGGCCTTTGCGCGCGCGCTGGACGACCCACACGTGGCTGAGCGCGTGAAGCTGGAGCTGTTCCGCCGCGCTGCCGCCACGCACACGCAGCTGACGGCTGCAGCCACTGCCGGTCAGGGCGTCGACCGCCATCTGCTCGGCTTGCGCGCGCAGCTGCAATCGCCAGAGGAGGCCGAGCGCGCAGAGCTGTTTGTTGACCCGGCGTTTGCGCAGTCGTCA